TGGACACAGCCAAGGCGCTCACCGTGTGGAGGGCACAGGGACAGGACTGCCGATTCTGGTTTCTTTCCAGGGGAGGTCTCTGCAGCACCTACAGGGCTGCCTGGAGGTGAGGGGGACCCTCCCCACACAGCCCTGCCCCTCGGGCCTTGGCGTGTGGAAGCTGGAACCTGACCTTGGTTCCCATGCCCTCCCCAAGGAGCCCTGGGCACAGAGGGGCACAGGGCGGCCCCCAGAGAGGCTGGGTAAGAAGCAGGAGGAAGGGCTGGGCCACCCACCTGGGCCCCCCCACCCTCTGCTCTGCTGCTCGGAGCCCGAGTCGGAGCCGGGCTGGAGCCTGACTGGCCAGAGCGCCCGTTCCTGCCCTGGGCGCTGCCGGTCGGGCAGGGACTCTGCCGCACACGCTGGAACTCCACGCCAGGCTGCCCCTTCCCCTGCAGACACGGCTTCGGGGGCTGGGGTGTGCCTTATCCGCTCTCAGCGTCCCCTCTGCCCCTTGCAGGAAGCGCCAGGTGTCACCACAGTCGAAGAGCTCCAGCAAGGTCACGAGTGTGCCGGGCAAGGCCGCGGACACCGGCGCCGCCGCCAGCGGCAAATCAGGGAAGGCCAGCACGCTGTCGCGGCGGGAGGAGCTCCTGAAGCAGCTCAAGGCGGTGGAGGACGCCATCGCGCGCAAGCGCGCCAAGATCCCCGGGAAGGTGTAGCGGCTGCCCGGCCCTCGGCAGACTTCACGTTTTTATAAATAGGGTGAACACAGCCGTTTTGGATTTTGCAGTTAATGTCTTACTTTGGCTGTGATTCTTTTTAAAAATTAAAAAAAAAAAAAAAAGTTTCTCAGCCGGAAAAGAAGCCACACACAAAACGACGACGCAGCAGCCTCCCGCCAGACAGACAGGTCAGCGCGAGCGACACACGGCACCGGTTTCTGTAAATTATAAGCCCCGCCCGCCAGCCTCGCCCGCCGCCTCCCTCCCGGGGCAGGCGCCGCGCTGTGCGTCCGTCCCCAGCACAGCGGCTGCGACTCTTCCTCAACTGCTGGCAGCATCTTCCCGTCCCTCACTCGCCCCCAGGATCAAAAATATATATATATTCTTGACTAAAGTCTGATCGGGAAATGTTTCCTGTCTTTTATTTTAAACATCAAATTGTTTTAGTTGATTTAAAAAGGAAAAAAAAATATAGAAGAAAAGACCAAAAAAAAAGGCCAAGGGTATTGTTGGGGCGTCTGTCTAATGTGGAGGGTCTTTTTTTGAGGGGTCTCCTAAAATAAAATATTTTGATAAGCAGTTGCGCTTGCCCTGTGGTCTGTGCCTGGCCCTGCCCGCTGACGGAGGGAGGACGCGGGGACAGAGGCTGGTCTGTGCTCTGGGTCCCGCTGGGAGGGGCCGCTCCTGCCCGCTCACCCGCCTGGCCAGCCACCCCTGTGGAGCGCGGTGCCTCGGTTTCCCCAGCCCCGTTCCCTCTGAGTCGTGGTGGGGCTTCCTCAGGCGTGAGCTGGTGGCTGCCTTCGCAGCCGTGGGCCTGGGCATGTCTGCAAGGGGGTCCGGCCGCAGGGAGGGGTCACGGCGAGTGCCCCGGGGGCTGCCGGCGCTCAGGGCCGCCCACTCCGGAGGCCCCGCCCACTCTGGGCCCTGCCCCCGTGGTGCCGGCTGCCGTCTCTGCCCTCCACTGGGGGGAAGGCTCACTCCGCCCAGCACAGCTGCTCCCTGCCCCGCAGGGACCCACAAGGTGACTGCCCCGCACGCTCCCCAAGGTCAGTGGCAAGTAAAGCCAGGCGGAGGGGCAGGGGCTGCGGGAGCCCCATGAGGCCAGGTCTTCCCAGTGGGTGTGAACTGGCAGCCGGTGGCAGTGGCCCCCAGCTTTGCTGTCCCTCCCTCTGGGGACCCCTGCACAGAGGGCCCGGCCCTAGGAGGGTGCGGGCCACCGCCACCCACAGCACCCCAGGTCCAGTGGAGAGAACCGCCCGGGCCTGGGAGCTGGGGGGGCAGGCCTCGGTGGCAGTGTGGGCGCTCCCCGGCCCCCACCCCCAGGGATGTGCAGTTCCCGGGCCCAGCACGAGGCGGGGTGGTGGCGCGTGCCCGGAGGCAGGAGCGCATCACACGAGGGAGACCCTGTGGCTGCAGCCCCTGCCCCTCCCGGCCACGCTCCCCTCCAGCACGCCCCTCCCCCACCCCGAGCGCCCACCCTCGTACCTGTCACCTGACCACCCTGGCTGGGGCTCGGCGCTCGCTGGCAGCCCTGGCGGCCTGAGAGAGGACTCCTGCCAGGGAAAACCCGCCAGACAGGGGAGAGGCAGGCATAGCGCCATGCACGCGGGGAGGGCGCCGCCCCGTCCACCCGCAAGCGGGTCCCCTCACCCACCCCAGCTCCGTGCGGCTTCCCGGCAGACGCCGTGGCGTCCTGGTCCAGTGGGCCACGGCACAAACCCTCCCGTTCGCACATCGCAGCTGTGACTCGCCCGGCTGTCACCCCTGTCAGGTTTTCAGTTCCTGCCTCCCTCTCCCCGCTGGGAGGGACCTGTCCTGCCACCAGCAACCACGGAAGGGGCTGAGGCCAGAGGTGGCAAACTCCTGCAGGCCGCCGCCTGACCCAGGCTCACCCCATCCAGGAGGGTGGCTGCAGGGCCCCCAGCTGTGGGTCTGTGCCCTCGTGCCTTCCTGCTGGGGCTGGGGGTGTGGCCCGAGGATGTGGTCAGAGCAGCAGCCTGTCCCAGCCACCACCTCCAGGATGCCCTCAGGCCCTCCTCCCACTGCCTTTCCAGTCTTGCCCAACCGGGGACTTCTGTGCTTGCCTCAGCGGCCGCAGGAGCAAAACACCACCCGGACCCCCACTCCTGCCTGCCCTCGGGAATGTCTCCCCGGCACTGGCCGTCAGGGCCCCCACCCCGACAGCACCGGGCCAGCCGGGGGCGCGCCATGGGGAAGGGCCTGCACGGTGGGCACGCAACCCTGTCACAGGTTCACCTGCAGCCCTCACAGAGGGTGCCCACTCAGCTGCTGTTAAGACAGATACAGCCTGGACAGCACAGCAAGACCCGTCTCTAAAACAAAAACAGAAGTAGCAGGCGGGTGGCGCACAGCTGAGGAGGCTGTGGCCGAGAAGCGCTGGGGCCTGGGGGTCTGCGCCTGGCCCACCCTGGGGAGGACGGCTCAGGGTGGGAGGAAGCAGGAGCTCTCCGGGGCCACAGGAGCAGGGCTCACTGGCCCCTGCAAGTCCATCCGCCCCGGGTCGTCCTGCCGGGTCGGGGTCAGGGAGGGGCCCTGGGAGGACACTCCTGTCCCTGGGGGGCTGCCTGCTGCCTGCTCACTCACGCCTTGGTCCCCGTCACACTTTCCACTCACCTGTTCCCCTTCTCACCCACTTGGCTGACCTCACTGCCCCAACCAGGTCCCGCCCAGGAGCCTCGTGGGGACAGCCCTGGGCCTGGTGCCAGGTGGGGTCACTGGCCTCACCTGGGGGTGACGGTGGGGCCTTCCCCCCCTTTCCTTGGACTCCTGTTTCCTTTTCCTCATTCCCTCTGGCTCCTCCTTTTCTTCTCCTGCCCCCTCCCCTTCCTCCCCTCCCCCTCCAGCGACACAGTGTATGGCTGAGCAGGTCGTGTACTGCACAAGGGCTCCCAACTAAAATCACCTTTTCCTTCCCTTCCCACACTGTGCGCCCTTAGGAAGCCACCTTGTGGATCTCGGTGGCTGCAGCTCTGTCCTGTCACTCTGCCTCCTCGCCTGCGCCTTCCACCTTCCTTTTCCTCCCCTGCTCCCGCCATCCCCAGGAAACTCCCTCGACCCCCAGACTCAGGGCATGGAGGCAAGAAGGTCCCTGAGATGGCAGATCGGGGCACCCTGCCCCCGGCACACCCCGCACCCGCCACGGGTCCTGCCCAGGGGCCGACATCCGGCGGCGGCAGTCGCCAGGCGGGGTGGGAAGCGGTGTGCGCGCTGGGGGCGGTGGGGCCGTGCCAGGCTGAGGGACGGGAGCGCCCTGCTCTGTGCCAGGCACAGCTCCGGACACTGGAAACAGGTGGGACCAGCACAGACAGTCCCTGACCCCAGGGAGCTCACGTGACCTTCGGAGGATGCAGGAGGGGCTGGAATTCTGGGGCGGGGCTGACCCCAGAGGGGCGTCCATCCTGTTAGGGGTGCAGTAGGTTCAGTTGTGTCCCCGGAAAAGGTCTGTCCACATCCTGCCCCCACCTGTGAACGTGCCTGTGTTTGGGAAAAGGGCCTTTGCTTTAGGATGAGGCTTTCAGGGACCGAGGGACGAGGCCGTTCTGGATTACGTGTCCTTGCAAGACACAGAAGAGGAGAAAACAGAGAGGCTCGGGAGAGGCCACATGAAGATCCGTGTGACGACGGCGGTAGAGCTTGGAGTGACGCAGCCGCGAGCCCAGAGGGCCGCCAGAGCCAGCGGGACCAAGAGCGAGGCCTGGGACAGACCCTCTCAGAGCCGCCAGGAGGAATTAACCCTGCAGACACCTGATTTCAGACCTCTGCCCTCCAGAACCGTGTGCAGATAAGTTTGTTTCATTTTAAGCCACCCAGCTGGTGGTACTTCCTTAGGACAGCCTTAGGAAATGTATATAGAGAGTGAGCTCCCCATCACAGGAGGTATGCAAGCAGAAGTGAAGGGCCACAGGCAGGAGTGTTATAGGGAAGGGGACTCAGTGCATCATCACCCTCGATTCCTCCCAGACTGTGTTCCCGGGGCAGGGGCTCCCTTAGCCACACCGGGGAAGACACTGAGGCTGGAGCGGACAAGCCACCAGGTGGAGGGGCCGGGGAGCCCGGGTGTTCTGGCGCCTGCTCCCGAAGGGGGTTTCCTGTCCAGAGGGCCTGAGGTTTTACGCTTAGAGAAGGACACTTTCTCAGACTCCGTCCTGGCACCTCCAGCAGGTGAGGAAAGGCCGGAAGGCGGGCGACATTCCCCCTCCACCACCGCCCCGACGCTGGACACTCTGGACTCTAACTGGAGAGGACCAGGCTAGACAGACCCCTCGGGCTTGGAGCATGGCAAGGGCCCTGGGAGACCCTCCCCAGGATGGCGTCCAAGCCCCAGCACTCAACGCTTCCCAAGGTGTGGCCCCCGGCTGTCTCCCTTTTCGGGTAAGCAGAGGCCCCGCTGTGCCCACCCCACCCCACCCCACAGCACCAAGTGAGGGGTGAGCCGCAGCTGGGTTCCTGGGTTCTCCTTAAATGAAGCTTCCTACGGTGCACCGCACTTCACAGTTTCCAGGGTTTTCGTGCCGCCTCCACCTCTTTTTGTTTTTTATTTATTTATTTTTTAGAGACAGGCTCCCGCTCTGTCGCCCAGGCCGGAGTGCAGGGGTGTCATCACAGCTCACTGAAGCCTCGACCTCCTGGGCTTAAAGGGATCCTCGTGCCTCAGCCTCCCAAGTAGCTGGGACCACAGGCCACCACACCCAGCTAATATTTCTATTTTTTGTAGAGACGGGGTCTCACTATGTTGGCCAGGCTGATCTTGAATTCCTGGGCTCAAGCGATCCTCCCGCCTAGGCCTCCCAAAGTGCTGGGGTTACAGGCGTGAGCCACCACACCTGGCCCATCTCAGACTTCTTATCTTGAACTTTTGTGTCAATAAAACTACAGAAGCCAAACAGAGAGACCTGAAGACCCTGGCTGCCCACCAAGTCTGTTCTGGAACTTCTCCCCCTGTGCAGGAGGAAGGGAAACGTGACAGCCACCTGTCCTTGATTGTTTTAGATAAAAACGGAACCAGCCTCGATGTCCGCCCACAGGAGAGGTGCAGGACCACGCAGGAGGTGCATCGAGCCCCCCGCCCCCGGGGGCCAGAGCCTCGGGTGCCTCAGACAAGTTGGATCAGAGCAGCGAGTTGCTGGAGGGGCTCAGCCTGACACGCGCTCGCGGAAAGGGGGAGCACGCAGACGAGGCAGGACCGTTCGTGGCTCCGTGTGCAGGTGCTCAGGATGGGTGTGGCCCTGGGGGGAGGGCAACAGGATGGGACCTCACAGGGGCTCCACGCGTGTCTGTGACGTGATGCACAGCGGGGTGGGGGACCCACGGGGACAGGAGGAAGTGCCTGCGGCTGGGCACTTCCCAAGGAGGAAGCAGTGCCCGGATTTTCCCCAGGTGTGGCCTCAGGTATAAAGAGCCGGGACGGCCAGGTCCCTCGCCAGGTGCACCACTGGGATGGCCGCTAGGTGTGCAGGCTGCCGCAAGCCCACGATGGTGAGCCTGGCATGGCTCCCCGCACCCCCACCGGACGGTGCAGCCAGGGTTCTCCAAGCCCTGGGACCAGGACATCGGGATGGGCCTGGGAAACCCAGTCTGGAGGGAGGGGAGCCAGCCCCACCCAGGCCCTAGGAGCCCTGGCATGCTGCATGCCTTGGGCTAGGGGCGGGCCTCTGGGCCTCAGTTTCCCCATCTGTAGAGGGAGGGCTCTACCCCATCTTTCCCCTGGGAACAGAGCAAGAGGGGTGGAAGTGAGGTGCCCCTTCACTGGGCACCCCTGACCACTCACCCACCTGTGTCACCAGCTCCTTCCCAGCCTCTTGCTTCTGACCTGGTTGCCCACCAGCCTGGCCCGCCATGACCCCCCACTCTGGGGGGGCCCCCACTCCCACGGGACCCCACGCTGCTACTCGGCTGAGGAACTGCCCCTTGGCCAGCCACCCCCACACCTGCTGGCTCGAGCTGCCAAGTGGGAGCAGGCCTTGCCTGTGGCCCTGGTGTCCAGCCTGGAGGCGGCGGGCCACAGAAGGCAACAAGAGGGGCGCCCAGCTGAGACCCAGTGCCCGGTGCTGCGGCCGGAGGAGGTGTTGGAGGCGGACACCCACCAGCGCTCCATCTCGCCCTGGCGGTACCGGTGAGGGCTGCGGCTGCCCCAGCCAGGGTGTTCTCACCTGCCCCGTGGCACAGTGCCCGTCCCTTGGCACACCCACCCACCCGGCCCGAGGCGACGGCCCTGCTGCTGGCCCCGGACCTCAGCCCAGACCTTGCCATCAGGGGCGGGGGAGAAATCCGGGCCCCTACACCTGCCTCCCTTCCCCTGCCGGCCGCATCCTGGGCGCGAGGGCGCGGGGGCAGGGCCCGGGTGCCGGGAGCGGGGCGGCGCTGGACCCGGAGCCTCATTGCCTTCCCCGCAGCGTGGACACGGACGAGGACCGCTACCCGCAGAAGCTGGCCTTCGCCGAGTGCCTGTGCCGCGGCTGCATCGACGCCAGGACCGGCCGCGAGACGGCCGCGCTCAACTCCGTGCGGCTGCGCCAGAGCCTGCTGGTGCTGCGCCGCCGGCCCTGCTCCCGCGACGGCGCGGGCGCGCCCACGCCCGGGGCCTTCGCCTTCCACGCCGAGTTCGTCCGCGTGCCCGTCGGCTGCACCTGCGTGCTGCCCCGCTCGGCGCGGTGACCAGGGGCCTGGGGTCGCCCCGGACCGATTGCCGCCTATTTATGTGTATTTATTGCTATTTATGCCCCCCACGCCGCCCTGGGGCTCGGACCAGGCCCCCGAGCTCCCTCTGCCCAGCCTCCCTGGGAGGAAAAAGCGACTATTTTATTAAACTATTATTTATTTTCAATGTAAACGTGTCACGAAACTGATAAATGTGTCCAGAGGGGAAGAGCAAGGGCGCGTTCTCCCTCGCCACCAACGCCAGACTCCAGCGTGTCCTTCCAGAAAGGTCTGCGCGTGGACCAGCAGGTGCCCAGGGTGGGGTGGGCTTCCACGCGGAGGGGCACAGGTGTGCTCTGCTCAGCCCGGAGGTTTCCACTGGGACCGCGGGCGGTGGCTCCAGACGCGCGCACGGAGAGGGCGCGGCGCCCGAAAGCCAGGGTGGGACCCCGGGACAGGAGCGTCAGCGCGAGCCCCCAACCGCCGCGGCGAGTCGCCCTCCCGGGAGGGAGCGCTTCCCACGCCCCCGCCGCGCCGGGCAGGCGCCTGCAGGCCAGCGCAGACCGGCCCCGCTGGGGCGTTCGGCGGGCGGCCCGCGGGGCGGCAGGCTGGGCCCGGCCTCAGCTCCGCCGGCTGACGTTGCCCTGGGGCCGCCCCCCGCAGGCCTCTCGCCCGCTGATTAGCGCCCACTGTGTGCCAGCTGCGCCAGGCTGCGAGGAGAGCAAGGACTCACACCTGGGAGCCTCAGCGCGGCTTCCTGGAGGAGGCGGAATCCTCATCCAGCCCGTACTCGGCGAGTCTCCAGCACGTGCCCGCACGGGGACAGGGCCGCGAACGAACCGGACGCGACCCTCCCTCCCGAGGCCGCCCTGCGATGAGTCGGGGGCAGAGGCTCCGGGGAGGGGCTGCCGCGGCGACGCCGAGCGGACCGGAGTCCCAGCGGGCCGGAGAGGTCAGTGCGGCGGCGCGGACGCGGCCGGAACCCGGACCCGCGCCGGAGACGGGCGGGTGGGCCGAGGGGCGGGCGTCAGGGTGACCGAGGCTTGGCGGGACCCTCGGAGGCGCCGTTTCCCGCGCGGGGTGCACCGAGTCCCCAGCGGCCATTCGCCCCGAGGGCGGACTGGGGGCGCGGGGCTGAGGCCGGGCCGGTCCCGGGTCCCAGGGCGGACGAGGGGCGTCGCCCCGCCCAGGCTTTCGTGGAAGGCGCCCGCAGGGTGGCCCGGCCGGGACGCGCCGCTGCCCACGAGGCCGAAACGGGCACCGGGACCGCCGGGCAGCGGACGGGCACGTGGGCCTGGGGGGATGGTCGCCGCCC